TTCTCACCGCTTAGTCTGCATTTCTAACATGCTCCTTACTGCATTATATAAGTGCTGATACATAACAATGATTCACAGAGAAAGGATACTACCCAAGTGTGACCAAAATCCTGTCTTTCCCATGTGGAAGTTTTGCTCCCCATTTTTTATATCATTTAACTAATTAAGGGAAAGTAATTGAATCAATCCTTTTAAAGCACAAGGAGAGATTTTTCTTGCATGTTTGCAAAGTGTTCCCAATGCAGGTGTAGAAAACTTGGTGGTTTTGCTTCTTTGTGATTGGTGCTATATAGTTCTGAAACTGCCTTTTCTGTTGTTGTGGTGACAGTAACTATTTATCCTAAATTGTGAGAGTCCCAAGTTCCTTTAGCTATGTACACAAGTGTCTTTGATAAGTAATACCGCCCTCCGCCCCACCCCCAATTAAAAAAAATGTTAAAATGACCACCAGTTGGCTGGCCTGATATTCCAGTTGCTGCCAATGTAGAAGAGTCATTTCAGTTTCTGAGCTTTCCAGTCCGTGAGGGAGTGGTAACAACACAGTGGAATCCACAGATTTTCACCTTACCCATAACCAGTTACTAGGAAATTACTTGAACTAGTTTTTACATGTCACCAGGCAGTGGATAGAATTGACGTCTTTTGAAGATGTCCTCTTGGATTCTAAATTAAATTCCAAAATAAATTAACTTTGTCAGTTTGACTTTACACAAAGAAGACTATTACTATGTAGCATGGTATGTGTGGAGTTTTACTGATGAATAAGAAGAAACAGTCCCCACCCCAAGAAGCTTAAAATTTCTGTTTAATGTAACTATAATAAGTAATAAAACTATGAGGACGGAAAGGGAGGATATGATACTCAGAAGGAAAGTTGAAACTGCTCATTGAAAAGTATTATTTATAAGGGATTTGGATCAACTTATTTTACTTCTGTCATGTTTATTTTGGGTACATTTTAATTTTGTTTTATTTTTAGTATGCTCAGGCAGGAAAGAGGGAGCAGATAGCACCGGAGCTGAAAATAGTGACGGAAAACAAGCTGAAAGAAGTGAGTTTTGAGGTGCTGCTTGAAAGAGAGGAGGGTGCTTGGCATGTGGAAGGAATGAAGTTGTGTGGAGGGAGACAAAGGGAGTATTAAGAAGAGAGGACTGGACATAGCGAAGGGCACAAAGGTATTGGGAGTAGAAGGAAGTTAGTGTCGATACATAGCTAGGGTTTAAAATAGGCTTCTAATACCAAGTCTACAACAGAGAGAACGTTCAGAAAATGAGTTTGAATATTATGCCTGTTACTCAATATCCTATTTAGAGGGCTGGGAAAGCTGTTCTAGAAATAAAAAGAAAAAAGCAAAATGTCGAGAAATATTTGCTGTGAATTATCCTGAGGGGTTGGATGGCTCAGAAAGCTGGTAATTATGATCTGGAGTCTTTCTTCACTAAGAAGACTGTACTTTAGTAAAGCAGTTAAAAACTTGTGTAATGTTCAGCATGTGCTTAAGTGCATTGCTGAATCAGGACCCAAGACACCAACTTGAATCCAGTCCTGGTTAGGTAGCATCTGAAAGCTCTCACCATGTAATGGCTGCTCAGTTTGAAATTAATTTGATGATTTTAATACAGTGGACAGGTGACCACCTCACAAAAAACACTTCCATAATTGTTACTAACTTGTTCCTTTGTCAGCTGTCTAAACAGAGAGGCCAAGGACCAAAAGGACCTAGAGGCTGAAACATTCTCTGCTCCCTGGTAGGGTGGAGCTTCTAGGGGAGATAGAAGCTACTAGCCCAGCTGTGGAGTCAGGGGAAGCAGTACCAGGAGCTTCTATAGAACTAGCTGGTGGAATGTAGTCATTGTTCTATACTAATGGAAGAGGGGTTAGCAGGAGAGGAACCCAGGCTTCCTGAGACAGTAGGGAGGGAAGAGGCAAATGTAGCTTCTACAGCAATAATAGTAGGTATTATGAATAATTCATGACCAAAAGGCTCCAGTCTTTTCCCCATCTCTATCAGCCTATTCCCCTGAAAATTATAAGACCCCATCAACTTGACTTGAAGTAAATTAAAAATATTTTCAGATACTACAGCAGTATTGGTATCCCCTGCCAATTTTTGTGGCTTTTCTTATTTAAAACATTTTTCTCTTTGTTGCTGTGAAAGACTCCTGGAATAAAAGGGGGAAACTGAGTGACTATACAGGAGAAACAATGAAATAATGTACTGTCAAGTGTCCAAAATAAAAGTATTTTTCTTTTCTCTCTTCCATTTACAGTAATTCTAATTGTTACTTGTAAAAATAATACATTTAAAAAAATTAAAATTGTGGAGTAGATGGAGTATGAAATGATAGTGGGACCTCCCAGAAGGGTTGTCTGAGAGGTAATTGGAGAGAGGAGTGGAGCAAACAGGTGTGTTTTGTTTTTTAAGACCCATCACCATAGAGATGGGAGCTGAGATAATGAGAACAGATGTGATCCCCTACAGAGAGTATAGAGGCTGTTTGGAGAGAGAACCATGAGGAATGCTAACAGATAGGAGGTAGAGGGAAGGATGAGAAGCTACCAAAGAAAATGCTGGAGATTAGCCAGGAGAGCATAGCTAGAGAAGCCTAAATACGAGAAAATGGAGAGGGGGACATTTTAAATCCATTTCCATAGACATTTCTCCAAAAATGAAATGCCTCTGGTTTGGGAGCTGTTACATGCAGTCTGGTGAAATAGATAGATTTCTCAGGGCCTCAATGTTTGAAGTTAAATTAAGTATTTAGAACTTTATGGGCCTCTTTTCTTTCTATCTCTTGTCCCGTCCCCCCCCTGCCCATGATCTCGATCTCTCAATAGCTCCTCCAACCTGCCAGTTGCCTTCAAAAGGCAGGAAGTGCCAGTGGCCTACTATGTTCTCTGGCATCTTCAGTGGAGGATGGAAGTCTAAGTTCTCCTCTGTCTTCAGGAGGCATCTCTTGTGCTTGTGCAAGCCCAGTCTTCTCCCCTTTTTTTTTCTTTCCTGGCAATGGAAAGAGGTTTGGGGTTGCACAAATTCTTTTCTATTCCCTGTTTCCTAAGTTTCCCTGTGTTCTCTATTCCTCTGCATCCCACTTTCACGCATGTGTCTCCCACTCAGCTCAAAGATGGTTAGGGGAAGGATTAGGCAGTCTTCTCCCCCCTCTATACTTAAGAACCACGCTGAGTGTACTTTCTGCCTGTTTCCTGGACTCTCTTCCCTGTTACAGTTGTGCTGCCCTGCTCAGCTCTCAAGCTCCAGTAGACAGGAGAAGCTTAGAAGAGACCATGTCTCGGGCATCCTTCCCATATGTTCCCCTCCACAGAGACTCCGAGGTCAAAAGGCCAGCTTTTTAACTGCTCTACCAGCTGCCCAGGATTATAACTAGGACAGGGAGCACGAAGGATGGGTTTTAAATATCAGAGAGTTGGCAAGTATGGAGGAGAGGTATTTCAAGAGCATATGGCTTCCATTTGCACATCCAGCACCTCTGCCTCTCAGGACTTTGACACCTTTGTTTGTAGTTTGTCTTGCCAGTCTGTGGAGCTCATGGGACTTTCTCACCGGATGCTGTTGGTTCCACCAGACCTTCTGCCCTGTGTGAATCATTTGAGCGATTGTCCACATGGATTCCACTTCTGGTGCACATGTACCTGAGAGCAGTTTCTTTTGGTCTATAGTGTCATTGGGGCTGCACCTGTGCTTTTGATGCGCTCACACTCCCCCCACCTGAAGGCATAAAGGGCAGAGTGGGACCAATCATCTCTCAGTTCCTTCTTTCCACACAGGACCTCGAGATGGAACCCCTGCAGTGTCCACTTTTCTGTGCACTGTGCAACTTTCATACCCATATGGGAGATTCAGGCCCACAGGGCTAGTCTACCTTGCATAGTGTCCCTCAAAGACTCTTAGGCTGTACCCTCCATTTTACTAGAAATTGTCTGATTTTCATTTAAATCTGGTGATTCACTTTCCATTTTTTCCCCCCAGGTCCTAGTCAAACCAAAGGAAAGCCACCCTGCACACCCTTGATGTGTACTGTTTGTTCTCCCACTAACATCAAACAAGTCTATTCAGGAGCACTCACAGGCTATTTGTAATATTGCAGATAGGAGCTCTTCTAGGCTGTTAGTAGCATTGTAGATAGGGTTAAATGTCAAGTAGTAGTTATTCAAAGATTGTCTAGGCAGGTACAAAATTTTATTAAATCATACTATGAGATAGCTAGATTAGATCCATCCATATAGGCAAGACACCAGTCCATCTTCTGTGGCTTCTTTGAGAAGCATCCCAATTTCTGAAATTTGCAAGGCATCTATGTTGGGATTAGCAGAAGAAAGGACAGTTACTTGCCTTACAGTAACTGTGGTTCTTTGAGATGTCTTGTTCACATGGATTCCATGACCTGCCCCTTTAGTATGGAGTTCTATATCATCTGGATTCTGTATTGCCAAAGGAACTGAGGAATCAGGTGGGCCCACTCCACCTTTTATGCCCTTATGTTGGGAGCTGCCAGGGGATTCAGGGTGCAGGTGCGGCCCTAACGGATGCTGCTGGCCAAAAGTATCTGATCTCATGTGCATGCACACCAGAAGTGAAATCCATGTGGACAACACACCTTGAAGAACCACAGTTACTGTAAGGTAAGTAACTGTTCTTTCATTGCCCACCTCTCCTCATTCAGATCTTCTTGTGGCCCACATCATATGGTTGAAAGAACCTTTCATGTCTTGGTAAGAATATGTAGTTGCTGATGCACCCAGTGGGTGTAATTTAGCAGGTAGAAAATACTTATTTATTCATAGTCCATGAATAGGAAGATATCCAGCCAATAGCCCTTTAGATTAGTTAATAGTTAACTTCCTTGTCTCTTCCCCCTCCCCCTCATCTATAGGTGAGTATTGTAAGCACTGAACAGATCCCTGTATCACATTTAGAGAATTAAATACAATGGTGGTTTATTGTGCACCATAAAATGTGGTGTTTGTTTGCCTTCTACTAGAACAAGAGGATGAAGAAGCCAGTACTGGGTCTCACTTAAAACTGATAGTAGATGCTTTCCTTCAGCAACTCCCAAACTGTGTCAACAGAGACCTCATAGACAAGGTAAAGTCACATTATTATATTATCGTCCCATAATCCCACAATAGTAAGTCTTGCATGTTAATTTGATCAAAAGTATACTTCAGGTGTTTACCAGTGTAATAGAAAGAGAAACTGTAAGCAGCGTTATAGGCTTCAGGGAGACTTTTTTAATGTTTTTACACAAGAATTTTCAGACTCTTCTGCTTTTTTTTCCAGGCAGCTGACTTGGCTATTTCTTTTGTATTTTATGTAGCCATATCAGATCATAAGGTCCTGTGTATGCCAAATCAACTACCTATGCTGCTTGGTTTCAAAGACCTTCACACTTTGGAGTCTAGCATGTGTAGAGGCTCTTCCTGATCTTGAGAGAGTACTTCCTCCTCTCTCCCTCACACAGGCAGCAGTTGGGTAATGGCTTGCCTACCCAGAGAGTTAGAATCTAGAATCAGACCTTACTCTGGGTAAGGGGATGGTGATACTTAAGGCCTGTCTACACAAATGTTAATTCAAATTAAGGTAGAATGTGAGTTTCAAGTGAAACAGCTAGTCCTGATTAATTTCATGTGTGGATGATCTTATTCAGGAATAAGAGTGCTTTATCCCAAAATGGCTTAATCCATGTAGGAAGTGGGTTAAATTAATTCAGAATAAGGCATTCTTATTCTGGAATCATATCATCCACATCTGGAGTTAATCAGTAATAGCTATTGTACCTGCACAATTGCCATATGTGGCTGTTGGTCCTACAGAAAAGGCAAACTCCCCAGCCTCTGTCCAGCTAGTGAACCTTGCAACTGTTTCCCTGACAGTTGACTGATTCTTTCTCTCCCTCCCCATTAGCCCAAAGTTTCCATTTTCCATCTAGTAGTCCAAAGGTAAAATCTATACTCTAGTATAGATTAAAACATTCATGTCTTCTGAATGTGTAAATTCTAGTTAGAAAATGAAGATTATATTATTATTTTTTAAGCAATTGCAAGTAGCAAAAGCTTGATTTAAGTAACCGACACTATTAATACGTAGGTTTTACTGCTTTCTGTGTAGAAATTCCGGTTTAAAGGTGAAACATTGACTTTTCTCTTATAGGCAGCAATGGATTTTTGCATGAGTATGAACACAAAAGCCAATAGAAGAAAGTTAGTACGAGCTCTCTTCATAGTTCCTAGACAAAGGTAGGAAAAGGGAGAAAAAATGTAGAGTAACACTTTATTTAACTTTGCTTTAGTGATTTAAACAGACAACAATGTACAGTGCAACTACGAAGGCACGTGTCTACTACGTTTACCATTGATGCACACTTCTCTGGTGGTATTTGCTTATTGACTAAGGATAAACTTAAAATCAGCAAGCAAACTAAGATTGTTGGTACTGGAAAAATTTTCAGTATGGATACTATTGCAACTTACCTTTTCTGGTGATAATTACGGTTATAATAAATATTTTGGTGGCTCATGTTTTGTTCAAACAGTGACATCAAAAATAAAGCTTTTCCAGGAAAAAGAAGTTCACGTGTCACTCAGAACTTCAATACTAGTAGCTGAAAGTCCATCCTATTGCACAGGTATGGCATTTGGGCCAAGTAATCCGTTAACTATGTAATCTCCCTCATACAGCCAATGAAATTGTTGCATGCAGTTCAGCTGTAGAGTATGGGTGGTGATTGGTTGAGTTACCTTTCATAGTGATATCAGAGGTAACTCAACCTCTGTGGTCTAGGACTCTTGGCATATATAAGGCATAGCTGCCTTACTGTATACCACACGTATATAATTTATAGAGTCAAAATGGCAAGAACTTAAAAACTGGACAGTAGTAGACTGCAAATCCCAGTGATGATTGAACCTGGTGATATTCTAATAAAAGGGAGTTCTCAGCCATGCTTCCAGCTGTTTCCATTGCTTCACATTGATTCAAAAGACATTCATTCTAGGCTTCAGAGTGATATAGAATGATAATCCTCGAATCTTATTATATGGATTGTCCTGGGAAGCATTGCAGTAAGATACAGTGGTGATGTATAGTAGTTAGTTTCTATGTGAGATCTTGCTATATGTTATGAATAATCTCAAGATAATAGCTTTATCTCATTGAGCTGTCATGGGAGTTTTGTTGTACTGAAACCCTTTGTGCCTTCTTTCTGCCTCTCCTTATGGTCAGCCAGCTTTTCTCATCCCTTTACTGACCACATCTGTTATCTGAGTGGCACTTTGACGGGAATTCTATTAATTAAAAGCTCCAACGTTTTCTCCTATTTTCTCCTATTTTCGCCTATTTTAAGAGGTCAGAGACTTTAACTGCAAACAGCCTAAGACTCAAATGGCATGTTTAAAAAAAATCATTTTTTAAGAAAATATATAGATAGAGAGAAAATTATATTAAACCAAACTAGTTGATCTGTGTAATGTATCTAGCCTTACTCTCTGCCAAAGCTCATCTAGATAGGTGCACCTTATTTGCTTGACATGAAGAAAAAAATCGTACCTTTCTAGAGTGTGCATTGCCAACATCTCATCTCATCTCATCTTTTGGCAGGCAGCTGTTAATGTTGCAGCCTTTGATTTTCAGATTTCATGTGTCATCTCTCTGTACCTTCCTGGAGTCCCTCCCTTGTAATTTTCATGTTCCTTTGACCTGACCCATAAAGGTAGTACTTTGTGGAAGAGAACAGTCTCTTAAAGAATGTCTTGTTTATAGTCCTAGTCCATTCAGGATTGTATTAATTGCTATGAATAAACAAGCTTTGGTTCTTGGGCCTCCTGTACCATTTTTTCCATTTAAACAGCTGTATACAGTAAAAGCTGTGTTATCCAGCACTTTAACAGCTGGAGAGCTCTATAAACTGGCATTTCGGATCTTCATTGAAAATCCGGCTTATAGTCCAGTTGGCACGGGGCTGGCAGGCTCCCTACCTGGCTCTGGAAGTGGCGGCATGTCCCTGCTGCTCCTAGGCAGATGAACGGCCACAAGGGGTTCAGGGTGCAGGAGGGGATGGAGGGGGTTTGGGGCGTGGCCTTTGAGAGGGAGTTTGGGTGCGGGAGGGGGCTTGGAGCAGGCGGTTCGGGTATGGGGGAGGGTGTGCCAGATCCAGGCAGTGCTCACCTCGGGTGGCTCTGCGCACTGCTTCCACTCCGCCCCGAGACCTGGCTCCGCAGCGCCTATTGGCCGGGAACCGCGGCCAGTGGGAGCTGTGGGGGTGGCACCTGTGGGTGGAGGCAGCGTGCAGAGCTGCCTAGCCACGCCTCCACCTAGGAGCAGCAGGGACATGTCATCGCTTGCAAGGAGCCCTCTGAGGTGACCACTGCCCGGATCCGGCACCCCCTCCTACACCCCAACCCCCTGCTCTGAGCCCCCTCCCGCACCCAAACTCCTTCCCAGAGTCTGTGCCCCGTACCCCCTCCCGTGCACCAGCCCTGAGCCCCTCCCACACCCAAACTCCCTCCCTCTTAGTTAACTGGAATTTTTGACTTACCAGCGTCCCCATTCCCCCAACATGCTGGATAATAAAGCTTTTACTGTACATGGTGAAATAGCTATCTTCCAGCCCATCTTTGCATCCTATTAGTGTGTACTATTCGAAAGACCTTCTATTCTTGTGTTCTTGTGTAATGACCATGGTTTTGCATACTGATTATCTTGGTGTTAACCCGAATGTCTGCTTTGCATCTGAGATTAAAAGGTTGTGCTCATATAATTCTTTAGTGGTGGAGCTGTCAAAAGATGACAGTTGTTAGAGCTCATTGCGCTATTGGTGTGAGTGGGATGTGTCCTCACCACCAATGAGCTGACCCTTTGTCCTTGCAAGTTATTGGGGTAACTTAAATAGATTATCAGAAAGGCAACAAATTGATTGAACATATTTGCATGTGGACGCAAGGTGCATTTCAGTTGATTGACAGACATGTAACCTGCTGTTCTCTCTAATGTAGACCAAGCCTAAAAAGCCTGTCCTTTTTTATAACACTACATTATACTGTGCTTAAATCAGTTTTCCTCTTTACCTTTACTGTAATACTTGCCAAATTATACTGAATTTGTAAGATGTAATATTTAATAAATTATCATTATGCATAACAAAATAAGTCCTTTTTACATGGATTTTAGGTCATTATTATCCAGTACTCTTTAGAGACTCATTGAAAAAAGAACAAAATAAACAGCTTTTAACAGCCACAGCTAATGATTAATTTGAGCAGTCTAATCTCTACAGCATGTTGGAAGGATGCAAGCATGGGAAACGGAACAAGTGTTACTGTACGTTTCCAGAACCTCACTTGAAAAATGGAAATGGTATAATACTTTTATCACTGCAGAAAAACTTGTGCTGATTACAATGGGGCTGAAGTCCAAATGCCTTACTGGTTTTATTAGTTTAATGTGAATCCAAGTTTTGAACAAATGCTCTTCTTTAATGATCCCTGAGCAGGTTTCAAGATTATCAAAGGCTGATTCATATACAGTTCTCTTTCTGAGCATCTTTCATTTATTCTGTAGAGTGCATTCTTTGTTCTAACATAGAACAAACACAATTACTGAAATAATTTCTAGAAGAATTTTAAATGTGAATCTATCTGACAGATCAGCGTTAATCTTCCAATTACTAATATTCAATAACAAGTGCAATCAGTGTTGAGTGAGAACTAATAGTTAGTTTGTTGGCTAAGATCTTGTACAGCTCCCCCTTTGCCCATTATGACTCCCTTAGTATCCACTCTCCCACATGAATCATAGAATAGTAGGGTTGGAAGAGACCTCAGGAGGTCATCTAGTCCAACCCCCTGCTCAAAGCAGGACCAACACCAACTAAATCATCCCAGCCAGAGCTTTGTCAAGCCAGGCCTTAAAAGTCTCAAAGGATGGAGATTCCACCACCTCCCTAGGTAACCCATTCCGGTGCTTCTTTACCCTTCTAGTGAAATAGCATTTCCTAATATCCAACTGAGACCTCCCCCACTGCAACTTGAGACCATTACTTCTTGTTCTGTCATCTGCCACCACAGAACAGCCTAGCTCCATCCTCTTTGGAACCCCCCTTCAGGTAGTCCCCCTTCAGGTAGTTGAAGGATGCTATCAAATCCCCCCCCTCCTGCTTCTCTTCTGCAGACTAAATAAGCCCAGTTCCCTCAGCCTCTCCTCATAAGTCACGTGCCCCAGCCCCCTAATCATTTTTGTTGCCCTCCGCTGGACTCTCTCCAGTTTGTCCACATCCCTTCTGTAGTGGGAGGCCCAAAACTGGGGACAGTACTCCAGATGAGGCCTCACCAATGCTGACTAGAGGGGAATGATCACATCCCTCAATCTGCTGGCAATGCCCCTACTTATACAGCTCCAAATGCCGTTGGCCTTCTCGGCAACAAGGGCACACTGTTGACTCATATCCAGCTTCTCATCCATTGTAATCCCCAGGTCCTTTTCTGTAGAACTGCTGCTTAGCCAGTCGGTCCCCAGCCTGTCAGTGCATGGGATTCTTCCTTCCTATGTGCAGGACTCTGCACTTGTCCTTATGAAATATGAAATTAATGGAGATAGGATAGATATCTCCTAGAACTGGAAGGGACCTTGAAAGGTCATCGAGTCCAGACCCCTGCCTTCACTAACAGGACCAAGTACTGCTTTTGCCCCAGATCCCTAAGTGGCCCCCTTAAGGATTGAACTCATAACCCTAGGTTTAGCAGGCCAGTGCTCAAACCACTGAGCTATCCCTCCCCCCCTTGTTGAACCTCATCAAATTTCTTTTGGCCCACTCCTCCAATTTGTCTAGGTCACTCTGGACTCTATCCCTACCCTCCAGTTTATCTACCTCTCCCCCCAGTTTAGTGTCATCTGCAAACTTGCTGAGGGTGTAATTAATCCCATCATCCAGATCATTGATAAAGATGTTGAACAAAACTGGCCCCAGGACTGACCCCTGGGGCACTCCGCTTGATACCGGCTGCCAACTAGACATCAAGCCTTTGTTCACTACCCATTGAGCCCGACAATCTAGCCAGCTTTCTATCCACCTTATAGTCCATTCATCCAATCCATACTTTAGCTTGCTGGCAAGAATATTGTGGGAAACTGTATCAAAAGCTTTGCTAAAGTCAAGATATATCACATCCACCGCTTTCCCCATATCCACAGAGCCAGTTATCTCCTCATAGAAAGCAATCAGGTTAGTCAGGCATGATTTGCC